TTCAGGGAACATTTCACTCATTCAAGGAAGAACGTCCATGAAGAACCTGCTTTTCTATTCAGGGTTGCAAGGTAGTTGGTGCATATCACCAGCAGTCACTGAGTGAGAGGTGGGGTGCATCCTAAACAGGTCGCATTTCCATCACAGGCCAGGAAGAATGTTTTCGACTAAGTATTGTGTTTTTCCAAAGGATAATTATCTTAATCACATCTGAAAGCACCTGGTCATGTTTGAGGTTATGGTTCTTTCTGCGTTGGGGGTGAGTCCTTGCCTCAGTCGGAGGTGTTAAGGAGTATTTTGCTCACAAGTGATGACAGGATGGAGCTGGACATTAAATTAAATTCAGTTGGTTTATATAGTACCAACTCACAACAAAGTTGTCTCAGGGCACTGAACTGGAACATTCACATACATACAAAAGCAAATTACCGGTAGTAAAGTTCTCGATCTAAGGAAGCCAGCAGACTCACTGAATCTTCTCTTCATCGCAGTCTTCCATATAGACATGGATCAAAGGATCAGGGCCTTGTTTGTAGGAATTGAGGTGTTGCTTCTTTAGTTCTTGGATATGGATCAAATTAATATGATCCCATATACAAAAGGCTGAAAAGAGCCTTCTTTATAGTCTCAACCTAAAGAAAAATGTGGGGAACTTGGTCATCCAGAAGTTTAAAGAACCTGCTGCTCCTCAGCATCAAAGGAATGGTGGTCTGGGAATTTAATTAGAATGACTTCTCCCTTTGGAGGATTTATATGCATATCCCACTGAAAGAAGATCCATGGCAGACCCAGAACTTGATGGAAAGATTATGTATACCTTCTGGCCTGGGAACACTTTGAGATCCTCCAAGAGAAACTGGATGAGAGGGATGTCTTGGTTGTCCACCGGTTCCAGTTACCTCCACGTCTCAATCACATAAAAGCTAAGGAACAATAGATGGCAGATGGACAATTTAAAATCAATCCATACCTTAAGTGTTGCAATTTTAGGATTTAAATTTGTCCGTCAGGACTCACTTATGTCAAAATGATCACTTCAAGGACACAAATAACTCAAAAAGTATGAAGCTAGATAACTATGCTCAAAATCTAATTATTTTTCAAAGAAGTTTCCTGATATTACAGAGCATGGATGTTTTTCCACCATGCTAATGCTAGTAGGCGGCCTTTCTGGCTCCTGAAGGAGAAAAAATGTATCCAGCTAAAACTACAAGATCTTAATGTTTAGTTGTAAAAATGCATCGACTGTGCTCTACATAAAAAATAAACTGAATAATCAAAACATTTTTCTTTTGCAACAGCTTTAGATGTTTTACATAAAAAAGGGCAAGTGTGTGTCGGACCCTGCAAGTCTTCCCATTTCATTGTGCTACAAATTTGACACCAACATAAAACTGTGTCTCATATGTCAATGAAAGGCGTTTATTCCTGAGCTGCTCATGTAAAAGGTCAAGTACACAAATGTCAGAGCCCGCAAGCATTTCACACATGGTTTCTTCAAAACGGTGGTTCTTTCATGGTCACACCCATCAGTCTCCACACACGCACACACACACCGTTCGCAGGCTCTGGAGAGTTTGATTGAAACACTGCATGTCTTAAGACAGGACTGTGGACAGATAGACTGTGATCAGGGCTGACCTCTGTGATAACAGAAGCTCATTTCCATTTCCTGTCCTTGTTGTAGCCTCGCACACACACTGCAGATAGAGACACACTGCATATTCAACACTCGAGTCTTCACATTTCCAACAAGATACGGCCACCTCATCAGTTCAGTTCACTTTTTCTTCTCAGATAAGGTTCAGAAAGGACAGTCGTTACAAAAAAAGCTGCTTTACCTACAGTAATCTCCACAGTGCTCCCTTCACTGTTCCACATCTCCTGACATGTTAAACTCAACAATCAGTAAGGCTTTAAGATGGAAATGACTTTCTGATCCTAGACTGCACCTACAGCTCTTATTCTTAGGAATTCAAAGCATAAAATATTAAGGTTTGAGTCTGATGTCTGAAGCAAAATGCCATCAAAAGCTAGCCACTTTGGATGTTGAAACAAAAGTGATCTCTGATATTCCTCTCACTGCCATTCATATTTTTGCTTTAGAAATATTAAATAATATAGGTTTAAAATAATTAACATGTGGATGTGTAAAGTTCCCAAATCTATACAAAACGAGGCCAAAATCAGCAGGATGTGATCCTGATGGTGCAGTCGAGCTGTCACCATAAGTCAGGATCATGCCCACAGTCGCATCAAACATATGAAGACATTTCCTTTAGTGCGTTATTTTATGATCGCAGTAGTGAAACAGTAGTTTTCAGCAGTGTCCAAACCTGCCATGTGTGGTGCATCAATGAGCGGTGAACTGGCTGACATGACAGCGTGCTTCTCCACGAGAAAAAAACAGAATTTAGATGAAACTATCGTTCTGATAAGACAAAGAGGTGCACTAACAAAATAATATTACAGAATCAATGACACAAGAAAAATACCATCAAAATTTGTCAGGTGGCACAGCAGAGCAGTGGTTAGAGTGATTAGCGAGGTCGTCACAGGTTTGCCTCCCAGCTTTTCTGAGAGTTTGCATATTCTCCCTGTGCACACATGGGTACTCTGGTTTCCTCCCATGAATCAAAACACATCACATATTGTTTTGTGGGTTTAACTTGTTCTTATTTGCTGTTGCTTGTTTGTCTTGTCTCAAAACGTCCTTGCGGTGGACTTGCATCCTGTCCAGGGTGTACCCCGCCCCTCGCACAGTGATTGCTGGACATGGGCACCGGCGACCCCCGTGACCCAAAATAGAATAAGCGGGTAAAGATAATGGATGGATGGATGGATGAACTCTTAAAACAATTACACTTTCTGAAGATTACACCAGTACAGTAGTCCCTCATTTATTGCAGGGGTCACGTTCTGGACCCCTCACAAGTGAAAATCTGCCAAGTACCTACATTATATTTATTTTAGTATTTATATATATATATTAAGGCTTTATAAACCCTTTCCACACTCTAGCATGTTCTAAACTCTTAAACCTACGTCATTTAACAACATACTTATATGTAGCTACTAAATTTTACTCACCAGTTCAGCAGAACAGCAGCAGTTCGGTTCTGCTCCAACTTTGTACCATTTCGGTGGACCTACCCTGACGGTTCTGGTCAGCTCTCTGGCTCGGGGTAGTGGCGGTGGGCTACAGAGAGAAACTGGGCCTATACGGCTGCGTGTCCCTGCTCAGAAGTCCTCATGGGCCAGCTAACAGCTCTTGGTTCACCGATGAGTCTGGGGTTCCAGTTCTGCTCTGGTTCTGTGCAGCCCTTGAACGCTGAAGAGCAAGAGCATTTGTGTGTGTGTGTGTGTGTGGGTGGGGGGTGGGGGGGGCTTCAGGTGGCTGGCGCGGGACTGGTGGTCTGATTGAGCGGTCCGATAGAGATGAAAAAAGTCCTGGTGGGCTCTGGAGAGAGGTTGTACCTATGGCGGCACCCATCCCCGCTCAAAGTCCTTGTGGGCCGGCTAACAGCTCTCGGGTTCACCGATGTGTCTGGGGGTCTGGTTCTGGTCCGTAATAAGCACAGAACTTTTTCGGATTGGATCAAAACTTTTCCTCCATTTCAGCAGAAACCACCGTTGGGGATTCTGGGTAGTGCACTGTTGGCTTCTGGGAAATATAGTCCTTTTAACATCCTGATGCATGCTCAATAATCCAGGTAGAAAAATCCAAAAAAGTTAAATCTGGTCCTCTGGACATTCAAAAAAACAAAAAACAAAACAAAGCAAAAAAAATGTAGAAACGTTTCGTCTCTCATCCGAGAGACTTCCTCAGTCTGAGGTGCTGTATACAGCTCAGTCTCTTAAATAGCACCTTCTCAGAGTGGATCAACCAGTTTGCTGATGACAACCAAAACCAGCTGCTCACATGGTCAAGAAGGACCATCAGCCTAACAATGGATCATTACACTGATGGCTGTTTACTATTCACAGGGGGTTGTCCTTTTAAGTGGCAACACAGTGTAGGCTTATCGAGAGAAAACTACAAAATGGCAGCGCCTGTCCGAAGTATTTTATTTTTTCGTTAACTTTTGACTGTACAGTATCCAGTATTGTCCCAATCATATGAGTAATATTAAAGTTGAGTGTCGTGTACAATTTCTTTTTCCTGGTGTTCAATTTTACTTTGAAAAACCGCGAAAGAGCGAGTCCACGAAAGCTGAACAGAGAAGTAGCGAGGGACTACTGCATGTAGAAAGTGTGTGAGGTGGCTTCATCTGATAGAAAAAAAACTTTCAAGTACTTGTAGTAGTAAATTGTACTATTATATTAATTGACAAATATTTTGACCTGGACCAGATCGAAGAAAAAAGTAAATGAACTTTTAGTTGTGTAAAAATGATAAGCTCCTCTGCTCCTAACAACATAGACATGGTTTAAAAGGGATGTGACGTCAACTAAAATCCACAAAGATTTGATTTGATCTTCTGTTGGGTTAGAGCCCTGAACAAACAACCATTATTACATAATACACTTTTTATTACCACAGGACCTTAATAATGGGATGAAACAAAAACATTTCCTTTACATAATTTAAACATATTTCTGGTTTGCCTGTTTTCAAAATTAGGGGAAACAATCAAAACACAAAAGTATCAAATAAAATAAAAAAAAAAGGAACCTGAAATGGCACAACCATGCACTACTGCTATACTTAAACACTTAAGCCAAACAAAAAAGGCTGTTCATGTTTTAACAGATTTTAATGCACTTTTATAAAGAAAGATAACGTAACATTCTAAAGGTGCATGATGGGGAAAAAAGACCATCAATGTAAAATTAAACATTAAACTTGAAAAAGCCTTTATGTTAAAAACCGTGCATGAAAAGTATTGCCATTGTGTGTGATTGTGTGTTTCACACTGAGTCAGCTGAAGAAAATGAACAACACAACTCTTTGTTTGGCTGCCATAAATTCTCATGAATCATTTGCAGCTCCTCAGTTGCTTTGGATAGACATGATATCTTTCAGTTGAGAAAAAAAAAAAAAAAAGTCTGACACCAGTCCAGTCCAGTCCAAAAGCAAGCAGATTTGTGTAATTATCAGGCTGCCTTTTGGATGACAGGAACAGAGCTCAGCGAGCTAATTTCTGGATGTTGCTCAGGAGTCTCCTGCTGTATTCTCTGTGGTCGACAGGAAGGATATCCATGACTGTTACTTTCACTCGACTCTCATCCTGAGGAGGAAAGAAAAGTCTTAAATGAATTTAAACAACATATAAACCTTTATGATTATCATAATCTATGATTGCAGTAGCAATCGATCATATAAAAACAGAACATCTGAGCATAAATGATATCTAAACTTGGGTAAAGGCCGTCTTTCAACAGCCACTGTTGGTTGGTCAAGACATATTTCTAAAGACTTACAATTTCACTATATTACCTCCACATCAATCTGGCTTCAGGAAACAACACAGCACAACCACTGCTTCACTGAAGGTTCTTAATGATGTTGTTGAAGCACTGGATGCTAAGGATTATTGTGCTGCACTTTTTTTTTAGACCTGTCTAAAGCTTTTGACACTGTGGATCATAACATCTTGTGTCATAAACTCTCAGAAATTGGTTTCTCAGAAGACACCATTGGTTGGTTCTCTAACTATCTCTCAGACCGGAGGCAATGTGTTCAACATAATGGTACTTCCTCCAGTGATTTAACTGTCAACAATGGTGTACCACAAAGCTCAGTCTTAGGACCCACCCTCTTTACAATCTACATACATAATGTAGGTAAAAACATCGCTAATGCATCCATACAGTTCTATGCTGATGACACAGTTGTTTATTGTCAAACTAAAACAGTTGCTAAGGCTTTCCAGCTTTTGAAATCTGCATTCAACTACATCCAGACAGATTTGTTCTGCCTCAAACTTGTCCTAAATGCCGACAAACCAAAGGGATGCTTTTTTCAAATAGGAAGTTGGTCCCAACAGTTCTTCCTCCCATTTTATCCTCAAATGGTGTCCCCATTGAGTTTGTTGATTCCTGTAAATATTTGGGTATCTTGGTCGACTCACATCTCTCTTTTAAGCTCCATGTGAAAAACTTGGTAAAGAAACTGAAAGTTAAACTGGGTTTCTTTTTCAGAAACAGATCCTGTCTAACCCTGAATGCTGGAAAACACCTTGTATCTGTGACCTTCCTTCCCTCCATTGATTACGGTGACATTATTTACATGAACGCTCCTACAAGAACCCTGCAGATGTTGGATGCTGTCTATCATGGTGCACTAAGATTCATAACTGGCTGTGATTATCGTACCCACCACTGCACCCTGTATTCACTGGTTAACTGGACATCATTAACTTCACACAGAATCTCACTGGTACATTTTCATCTTTAAATCACTTCTTGGTCTGCTGCCTTCATACATCTCCTCCTACATGTCTCTGCGTGAGTGCAGCCACGGAGTGCGCTCACAGGACATTATTACCTGCAGTGTTCCCTCAATGAGGACTGAACTAGGCAAAAGGGCCTTCTCCTACTCTGCTCCTGTTTCCTGGAATATCTTACAAAAAGATTTGAAGCTCTCGACCTTGACCTCTCTAAGTGGCTTTAAGAATCTGTTGGACTCCTGGCAGGGACCAATGCAGACATGTTCCTGTTTTTAGTTTTCTACATTCGCCTTAGAATCTAGCTGTTTTTTTTATAATTGTTTATTGTTGCTGTTGTCCATTGTTGTCATCTTTCTTTGTTGAAATCATGTCTCTCTTGTAAATGAGTCCTCGAGGCTCAATGGGATTTACCTGTCTAAATAAAGGTTGAATGAATGAATGAATATTCAAAACTGTGGTATGAATTAACAGGTTAAAGAGGAAACAAAGACACTGCGTTAAATTTCTGCTCTTTCTGATTTAATTTTTAGGTATGTAAAAAGTTGATGCAACTACAAATGTTAAAAAATGTTAATGAGAGCGCTGCTTTTAATGATGTGAAACCCCAGAGACACAACAAACATACAATTAAACTGAAAACAACTTGAACCACCTTTTGCTCATCATCAAAACATCCACTGTGGCAACAGCTACAGACAGTTAGGCAGATAGTTATAATTAAGTCATAGGAAAAAATATAATTAACTGTTCTGGACAGGGAAAATCTAGCCTTTGATTGGCAATCACCAATGTTTTCAGGAAAAAAACGCTGTTAGTCAAACTCAGATGTGCGTTTTTGTTCCTTCAGATTGCATAAAACCAAGCTTTGAAGCTGCCTGTTAGCATTAGCAACAAACGTCTAAACTGAAAAGCATTACGCTTTATAGAGAAAAGGATGAAACGAGCAGTACAGAGTAGAAGTCCCGTGATAGCCCTCATTTCTTTTTACTATGCTTTAAAGAAGATCGTTTTAAAGTTTTTTTTAAACCTGTAATTAACAACGGTTTGCAGACTTGCTTTAGACTTGTTAATAATTTTCTCATCATGTTTGTTGCTTTTAAACATCACTCCAGGCTTTGTACTGGTTTTGAGGAAGTTGTTTTATTAAGCTAACAGTGGTGGGCCATCAGGGCCAGCAAGGCCTTCTCTGCTCAAAACATAATCAGAACCACTAACTTATGTTAAATACTTTTTAAACTTAATGAATATGTTTTAAGTTATTCCTAATGATTTTCTCTTCATTTTGTAGCTTTTCTCCTGGTCGTGCAGCTTCCAGTAGCATAAAATCATAGAAATAAACCAAGATCCAGCCAATAAACATATCACTTTGATTATCATCCAGCTGGAATGGAGAGAATCTCATTTGGAAATGACCCCACTTGTGTGATCTTCAGCTTATGAACACCTCAGTGATAAAAAAAACAATTTGTGGGGGGAGCAGAGCATGACAGGTGACATTTTCCATCTCTTAACTTGAGCAAAAGCAAGATGTTCAGTCTGTGTTTTTCTCAGATTAATCATAAAGAAAATATATTCTGGTGTTACTTTTCAGATTTCTTTTTTTTGTTAAGATCTTCAAGAAAAGAGGTGCAAATATTATGCACATTAAAATGAGTTTAAAAAAAAAAGTCCCATAATTGCCAAATATTTTATAGCCATTCACCCATAACACTTAAGACTAAAAGCCACCATCAGTGGCATCCATTTTAATGTTGGTTTTTGCAATACTATTTTTCATTTTTACATAATTTAGTTTAGAAGATGATCCAAAGCAGCTTACAAGTGAGTTGTGCTTACATAAGAACCTCCAACCATCTGACTGGATGGATGATTACTCCACCGCCTGCAGCCACAGCAGCCCAAATAAGGAAGGGATTTTTTATGAAGTCATAACAAAATCTCATTTCATTTGATCACAGTCATTATTAGAAGTGTTAGAGGTAAAGAATTGAAAGACCAAACACCAAGCATAGCAAATATGAATAATCTAACATTGGCTCATTATGTAGAGAATTACACATCAATAAATAAAATAGGGGAAGCAGTTAAAACCCAAGTTTCACGTGACAACAGAGGGGGCAACTTGTTTCCAAACAATGTTTTTTTTTTTTTTTTTAAACAACAGGGATTTATTGTGCATTGATAAATATTCCACTCACATCCAAAATCTAACGCTTAGCATTTCCTTTTCAAAGCTGGCATTCTCTCCCTGAAGAAACAACAACAAACTAGCAACAATGTCTGGAGGCTGGCACGATAACATACCATAAACAACACACACACACACACACACATCTAACCAGTTTATTTAACGTATGCCACGACCTCACAGAGAAGATGAGATTCTGTAGCATGCTAAACAATGCAATTACACAACTGAAGATCCCTACAGGAAGACCGGGATAATGAAGCACTGCAGAAAAAAATGCTTTTCAGCAAAACGTTCTGCAGAGCTGAGATTTATGGGTGACAAGAGGACGGATCCCACTGATGTTTATGAAACAATTTTTTTTTTGTCTTGTTGAAAACTCAGATTGTTTTCAAATTGTTTGTATCCCAAACGCATTTCACGTTTTTCCTCAAGAGACCCTTAAGAATTTATATTAATCAGTCAGGTGTCCCTTTCACGTCTCCAACTCGTCCAAAATGCTGCAGCTCTTAACAGGAACTTGTAGGTTTGAGCATATTTCACCAGTTTTGTCCTCCCTTCACTGTACGTCATAGAAAAAATTCAAAAATTCTCCTACTGACCTATAAATGCCTAAATGGACTTGCACCCTCTTATCGCTCTGAGCTACTGCAACCATATGTTCCTTCTTGGGCTCTGAGATCATCTGACCAGCTGCTTTTGGTTGTACCCAAAACCAGACTAAAAGCTCGGAGATAATCAGGATTTTTCAGTTGTGGCTCCTAAACTATGGATCAATCTGTCCCCCAACATTAGACAGGACACTTGACTTCCTGTTTATAAAACTCTGCTAAAAACACACCTGTTTTCACTGACTTTTAACCCAATGCGAGTTACGTTAGTATTTTATTGTTTTGCGTTTTATGTTTTGTTTTCTTTTGATGCTTTTAAATTAATTTTAGTTTTTTTCTTTTAACTACTGCCATTGTCTTTTACCGTTCAGCACTTTGGTAACAACTGTTGTTTTTAAATGTGCTTTATAAATAAATTCCACTTGACTTAACAGTTTTGCATGAGCTGTCACAAACATGACTTCTGTTTTGTTCTTATCATAAAAAAGCCTCATGTCAACCCGACTTAAATTTCTCTCATTAGTACAGTAAAATACTGTCAAAGATCTTTGCAATTTGTCATATTGTCATATTTGCTCATTGTTAGATACATGTTAAAGGAAAAAGAAACTGAGACACTTCTTTGGTTATTTCATGCTGATTATGTAAATTAAATTACATTTCCTTAAAGCTTTTCCTCCTCACTGTGAAACGGCAAAAGGAGCCGAGCTGCTGTTGACATGGTCTTCTACGAGTCTGCTTTGTTGATGATTTAAAGCGACAGTGTTAAGTGTGTACTTGGCTCTCAACGGTCTGACTGTTAAAATAAAGGAAGAAAAACCGTCCGCCTCTGACACTAATGCATTCAATGACATAAAATCAATTCATTTACTTTAGACAGACAGATGTACTCGCACACGAGCTTAGATTTATGCACTCACGTTTGAAGCTCACATGCATCGATTCATACCTCTTCATACGGAGAAAGATTTATGTCCAACAGCAAGTCAGTATTAAATGATTTAACTGACTTTCTCACAATTATGCAAAAACTTTACTTT